CCCAGTGGAGCTCTTGCCTAATAAAAGCATTAGATGCAGGTATCCTCATCAAAATGCAGATTTTGTTCTGTGAGGCGTTCCTCTGTAGTATGAAGCTGTAGGGCAACTGTAGCAGTGCCAGCCATGACATAATGTCACCATCACTGCCCCTGTCATGTCATGCACTGTGCCTGGGGGGCATGTGCAGTGGTCACCCTGCCTCACCTGGGGTTGTGCTTTCTGACAGCCTTCCCAAGGGAACCTGGCAAACTGGAGCTGCTGAATTCATGCCAGTGTGGAATTGCTTTTTAACTATGGATGAGGATGAACAAATATTCCTTGTTAGCAGATGGCCCGCTGGGTGGCTGAGTAGACTACCGAAGTTAATAGACTGAAACATATTTTGTGCCCTGCATAATTCATCTGAACTTAATGAATGCTACCAGTGGCTCGAACACATTAAATGTTAACTGGAATTAAACATTACTAGAATTAAATATTGTGATATACATAGAAATTGTGAGCAAGAGTATTGTGTCTCAAATTTCCTTTTCTTTAAAATATATTTTGAGGAATTTGTTCATTACAGTTTCTGTGTCCTAGCAGTTATGAAGCCATAAATATTTATTTGTGTGTTTTCAGGTATTCCTGTACTACTCCAGCAATGAGACCTAGTCAGTGCACTACAGAGGTGTGCATCTGCAGGTTTTCTGTCCCCCTTTGCTCATGTTCAGGTTCCTCTGATAGTTTCTGCAAGACATTAAGGAACAGTTTGCTTTATAATTCCCTGAATTTGCTTATTAAAATTTCAGAGCCTATGGACATGTAACAGAAGAGCAGCCAACCTCTTCCTTCATTTCTTCAATTTTAACATTTTTTTACAACATTAACTGTCCTCACTGTCTTCATCTTCAGTGAACAGTATAACTACTTCAAATACGTTAGGTACTTTGCCCTTCTAAGTAAACAGTGTTTTAAAAGAACAGTTGCAGTCAAGAACAATCAGATTTCCTTCTAAACTTTGGTATTTAAAAAATGCTGAATTTGAATTTTTTGAGAAAAACACTTTCCCCTTGAGATACTGATTCCTGACATGTGAAACTGATTGTCATCTCTTTCCTACATGGCATAAATCTGTTTTTACAAGCTTCATGACGTCTTGACTGGTCTCCCGTACTCAGCATGGCTTCCAGTTGTTAAGATCTACTGCAAGGAATCAATGTTTATAGCAGATGTTTGGTGCAGCGCAGCACTTTTTCCACTAAATATTGCTTGTATGTTCAAATCCAGCTCATTCCCAAAGTCCCTTTTGCTATCTGAATCTCTCAGAATTATAAGGCCTGTACATTTGTATTAACCCATTCCAGCTTCACAGCTTCATCCCTTCACCTGCCTTTTTTTTTTTCTTTTTAACTTTTTCTCTTTCAGTGTGATGTGGTAGTTCAAGTAGATCTATGTCTCTAGTTTATAGACTCGACAGCTTGCATATCAGATGCTTATATGGCAGCACATTTTGCAGCACTATTTGATTTGAAGTAACTTTATTTAGAAGGATGGTTTTCTGTCTGTCTTCTTGGTCATATTTAACTACTGAGTATCAAATGCCAGGTTTTTTTTTCTTTTCAACAGGAGTGTGTCATACTATCTGTCCCAGATTTGTCGGAGTTCTTAAGTGGAATTGCATAGAAATCAAAGCGAGTGAGAAACTGGCAGGACTTTACCTTTGAAAAAATCACAGCTTTGAAATGCTACCCTTCTGTCAGTCTGAAATCATCTTAATGTTTTCATTTCAAGAGCACACATTCAAGTTGCTTTATGTTTTTAGCCTTAAATAACTGGACAGGCTTGGAGGCAACCCTAAGTGTTTTTGCTGTCATAGTATTGTCTATTATTTTTGATAGTCATTAATGGCAGTAGTATATGCTAGATTATTTTATGTCAAAGCTTTACTTTTGAACAATTGTACTAGATCATCTGAATGTGATAAACTGTAGTAGATGCATGATATTTTCAGTTAAACAACAACAAAGCAAAAACAAAAACAAAAACAAAAAAAAACAAACAAACAAACAAAAAAAAAAACAAAAAATACAGCTCTTCAAGATGGAATCATAAAATTGCTCAGGTTGGAAAAGACATTCAAGATCATCAAGTCTTACTGCAACATAACCATACTATCCTAACTAACAACCCACTGCTAAATCATATCCCTAAGCACCACATCCAGTGTTTAAACACATTCATGGTGACTCCACCTCCTCAATGGGGAGCCTATTCCAGTGCTTAACAACCCTTTCTGTAAGGAATTTTTTCCTGATACCTAACGTAAACCTCCCCTGGTCCAACTTGAGGCTGTTTCCCCTTGTCTCACCTGTCACCAGTGTGAAGAGAACATCACAGAATCAAGAATCATGGAATTACAAAGATTGGAAAAGGCCTACAGGATCATCCAGTCCAACTTTAAGATACCTCATGTTTATTTAGTTGAGGCATTTGGAAATCAAGCATCAAATCCATTTAAGTTTCAATTAAGTACGTTGATTCATTTTCTCTAAATACCAGTATAGCATTTGAGGTAAGCGTGGCAAGGTTTATTCAAATTATTGTTTCTAAAATTACTGTTTTCACAATCATGTAGGCTCATATCTGCCATTTACATGAACGCCACCATATTCTATTCTTTTTGTCTTAGCAAGGATGAATGAGATCTATTAATGAGACCAGGTCTAATCATATCTGTTCTGCCTTCAGCATCTGTGCTGAAGATTGTCAACAAGTGTAGTGATGTTTCTGTGGTTCTTTAAAGTTGACTTTTATCTTCTTTTCAAGGCAGAACAGAAAAAAATATGAAGTAAGCAAAACAAGACAAACCTAAAATTAGACACACCAGTTACAGTGTAATGTGAGTCAAAATTATTATTGTTAAAAATTTTCCAATTTACTGTTTCAAGTAAGCTATTAAAAATAATTTGGAACATGTGGAATTATTTTTCATCCTTCTTGAGCTAGAATATTTTGCTCTGACCTTAAATTTTCGCATACTCTTATGCAGAAAAATGCTATCATATTTCACGTTGTGTTTTTATAAGAAGATAATCAGCACATACCGAATTTTCTGGGTTTATTTCTTCACAATGCTTGTTGTTAATGAAGATCCTATACAAATGTTTCACTGAAATTAGAAATTTTGTAGGTTATTTAGCTATAGGAACAATTGTTTCAGTTTGAATGTGTATGTGTGTTCTAGGAGTGTTACCAAAAATTTGTGATGAAATGTTGTATCCGTGATGTAGACCTGTGACAAAACATTTCTTAAATTAACTGCATAGTAAGCTTGACCTACACAGCCAACCAAGAGCTAAATTAATGATCTGTTGCCCCGAGAGTTGCTGTTTCTATCTTCTTCATAAATCCCTCAACCAAGATGCATTTGTGTGGACTGTTTAAAACTTTGAATTGATTCAGAAATACCTCCATCCATTTCAATGCTGCTTTTGGGCCTGAAAGATCTATTGAATTCCTACGCCAGGTTTACAACCTGAGGTCTTAATTTGGGAAGATTTCATATAATAAGCTATAATTCCAGTTCCAGCTAATTCCAGCAGTATTAAGAAAATAATGTCGATCCTTTGCAGGGTCAAAAGAGGTGGAATGATGAAATAAGTGTCTAATTTTGTTTTTCAGATGTTTTATCTATTTGTCTAATTCGGTTGAAAATTATTAGAGCTAAGGATGTTTTGCTGTCTAAAAGCATCATGACAAAAGCCTCGTTGAAATATTATGTTGTTAAAGGCTTTCAGTGTTATGTCATTTGACAAAAAAAAATGTATTTTGGAAAAAGGATATGTGCCAAAACAAAAATAAAGTCTCTTTATTGCAGAGCTTATCACGACTTCTTGCTGAAACTGTAGTGTGTTTTCATGCTTTATTACATATTTTTTACGAAATCAGGGCAGCTTTGACATTCAGTTTTAACCAGGAAGAATATTTAGGAATAATTCAAAATGCAGTATGTATATTAGATGATGTGCCTGTGATGATAATTAAATAATAATTAGTAATTTCCATTAGATTTTTTGATGCAGTAAAGTGAGCTATCTCAAATTTTAGATGGCCTGATTAGAGGAAATACTAAGCAGAGGTTCTATTTTTTTTTTTTTTTTTGATAGTTCAGTGTGTACACCAAACTGCACGTAGTTTGGAAACAATAAGAACAGTAACTCTTTTACTGCCATTAAGCAGAGTACCCTCCAATGCAAAAAGATGGTTAGCACATCTTTTTTTGCTAGTGCTGAAATAAACTGCTACTTTATGAAAGACCTGTCTTTATCCTGTTGTTTGAAGACAGTTGAACAACCTTATTTTCAGTATTGGTCACAGACCAATCAGTGGTCTCTATACCACACCATTTGCTGTCTTGCTGGTATGAACAAGAAGATTTTGGGGAAAATATTACTGCATCTACTTTCATAGTGAAAGTTTAGTAATCTAAAATGGAGTTGTGAAGTATTGAAGAGGACTGCAAAGGTATTAGTCATCCTCTTCACTGCTGCTTTTGTGCTGTTACCTGTATAAACAAAAAAAGAAAAATTGAGTACTGTCGTGGATTACACGATGACGTTGTGTAATATTGAAGTGTTCTACAACTTTGTGTCAAGACTGAATAGATTAGTTAAGAGATTATCTAGTCTGACTATAAGCAATTAGTCTGGGATGTCACTTTAACTGAATTAAAATAATTCTTCTTTGAGGAGCGGTATTATAGTTCCATGAGGGAAAATTTGTTTTAAGATCCGAACTGAAAGTACTTACTGTCTGCTAAGATTAAGGAAAGGCTTGTGATAGGAAAGCACATGAAGTATAGATACTCTTTTTTTAAAATACATTTCTCTGTATCGGCTGCAGCATGCTGAAAAAGGAGAGAAATTCAGAAATTTTTCAATGTTTGTAGTAAGTTGCTCTGCTAGCGACTCAGGTTCCTGTTTCGATAATTTTCTTTTGACTCCTCTGTTTTCTTTAAGGCCTTATTCGATTACAAGAGCTCATCAAGGCTCCATCACGATATAACCTGAGACTAAAAATCCGTCAGTTACCAGCTGACACAAAAGATGCAAAGCCATTGTTAAAGGAGATGAAAAGAGGAAAGGAATTCCATGTCATCTTTGACTGCAGCCATGAAATGGCAGCGGGCATCTTGAAACAGGTAATCCTCATTTTGCTTTCGATTCCTAATAAATGAAACTAATATCCAGTCTTAATGGCTTTTAACAAGCAGTTAAATCGTATGTTAGTTTTACTGAGGCCTAACTGAAAATCAGCCAAGGATTTTAGAGATAATTTTATTGGCATCTGTAATGATAGCTTTTTTTTTTTTTTTAAAGAAACAGCTTGGTTTGTCTGTGTGGGGGGAGGAAAGGTATTTCACAGTGCACTTCATTGGGAAAAGGTATGCCTTGGTATTTTAGAGAATTAATGCCTTGAGCTTTTAAATACTTGCTTAGAGTTATTATATATATGTATATATACATATTCCAGTTAAAGCTTTTAAATTGTGTACTTCTAACCAGGTAGTAATATTGGAATAGTACACTATTAAACTAGCACATTAGTGTAATCCTCTGGAAGGACAGAACTAATTGGTATTTTTAGAGCCATATTCCCCTCCTTTACTAACAAGACTGTGAAGGACCTGAATACATTCGGGCAGATGCTTTCGAAGTGTTTGCTCTGTTGTGTAAGATGAGTAGGCAAGAGATAGCAGAATCCCAAATACAGTGTTTTTATTGCTGAAGCATATTCCAATGCTGTCACTGAAGAGAAGATGGCAATATAAGAAAGACTATATTAAAAAAAAAAAGGAGCTTGTAAAAAAAGCTGCCAGTAATCCTGAGGTGTGCAATAAATGCATGCCTTTGTATATCTTCTTTAATGTAGTGAGCTAACCCCAAAGACTTAGAATTCCTAGCCCCAAAGACTTGGAATTCCTTAGACTGTTTTTCTCTAAGTTTTTTATTTGAGCTATGACTCGCAACTAGGTTAGGAAACATACCTGAAACAAAACAGTGCTCTACATTTCTAATGCACAGCTTTTAATGACTGCAATTTGCATTCATATTATGTATGCTAGCATATTGTATCGTTTAGTTCAAAAACAGTAAATACATTCTTTAAGATTTGAAAAAAGATCTCTTGTTAATGGTACCTCAGGGTACAGCTGTGGGTACAATTAAAAAAGCAGGTAAAAACAGCAGGTAAACACGCCTACAATCATTTTGCTTTATTGTGTGTTGATTAAGATTCTTTCATTAATTCTTACACATTTTAATATCTGCTGACAGTTCTGGTTTTCACTTAATGTAATGCAGCGTAATTAGTCCAATTGTTTAGCCCAAATTATTAAATGTATATTTAATTCCTCTAAAATCTTAAAAATGCAGACAGAAAATATGTATTAATAACAGTACAAAGATGCAGTACTACAAATAACTCAATCAGTGCACATTATTATGTATACTGTACCTCATATTTTTTATGTGAAAGACAACTTTTATTTCATACAAAATTGGGGAAGAAAAAGTATGAGTTGAGAGAAATGGGAAGAAAATGAAAACCATTCCATATTTAATCACGTTCTAAGATCTGAGAATGAGCATGCAACTTCTTTAAATCAAATTCTGAACTGTTTTATCAGGCTACTCCACTTGTCCTGAAGAATGTAAAAAGAGGTTACAGGAACAACTCCTCAATTTTTTATTTTTTTTTGTAATCTTTTAGTTTTCCATCCAGCTTCATTATTGCAGTGTTTTAGAAGTGTCTAAGATTGGTAGTTCTGCTGAACATGACTTCTGCTTTCAAATTTGAAAAAAAAAAAAAAAAAAAAGCATGACAACTACTGTTTTCTGGCCAATAATACTTCATAAAAAAAATAACAAACTCACCATTGATATGATATGATTCTATCAAGGCAAATCTCAATGGTTATTACATTACCAGGCAACCAGGGAAAGCAGACAGTATTTAAAATTTTCTTGTGGAGATATTTAAAATATTCTTATGGAGAGGTTGCTTGGAGAGTGAAATCCGTGAGTGTAAACAGCTGTTTATATGACCTTACTAGAGCAAAAAACAAAAATGCTAACAGTGTTTGGTGTTGTAAGGTTTCTACTGGAGTTGGGATATTTCTCATAAGATAATGGTTTTCCCTGTGTTTAACAGAATTCAAATTGCTGTTGGTAGACTGTACTACAGTTCTAAATACAGGCAAAGACATCCTTTGAAAAAGTGTTGTTACAATTTTTGCCACTCTTGTCAAAGCTAAAAGCTCTGTTTTGCAGCTGCTATTTCAAATTTGTTTTAGCTTTTCACTTTTGTTTGAAAAAGAACATACAGACTAGTCATTTATTCCTTTCTCAGACAATGCCACAAGTAAAGTTCGCACAGCCTTCAAATATCTCTTTTGTATACAAATTTCACTATTATTACAATTGTATAATTATTGCCTTCAGCATATTTAAGAAGGTTTAACTGGTAGAAAATTTGCAAAGAATTATCTTTGTAGTTCCTGGAAAGGAGAAAAATATTCTGCATTTGTGTAGCTTTTTTTTTTTTTTTTTTTTTTTTGTAGTGCTAAAGTGAGGTAAAAAAGAAAACAAACTGTCAAATACTAAAATGTTTACATAAATAGTACTAGACTCTAGAATCTTTTGTGGAGATTGAGAAGATATTGTGTATCCATATATGCTCTTCAGGTGAAGGAGCATATGATGCAGTGATATTTCTAGCTTATTGCTTTAAAATAAATATTTGCAGATTTTCTTTTTACAAGTTAAAAAAAAAAAATGAACATTTTAAAATGCACAGCTTATGAGAAACTATTTGATATCACATAGACAGCACAGCAGATGAAGATGATGAAACACTATGTATCTTGCTAGTAAAAATTTACATGGAGAGTATTTTCTTTCATGGTTGGAAAAAATGTGTACACTTGAAGTATATGCTTGGGTCCTTGTTCTAAATGCATAATGCCAATAATTAAAATAGGAAAAAAAATCCTGTTAGGTTATTCTTTTTAAGGAGATGAGGGGGCTCAATAATGAATGAAATATTGTCAATTGAGATTTTGTGTGGCAAGTTAATGCAGCCATTCGCATGTAAAGCTATAAGCCTCTTTCCAATTTACAGCTCTAAACAGTCTAATAGTACTCTTTGTATCAGATGATCTGGTTCATAAACTTCTTTAATAGTCAGTAATCTGCTCTAACTGCTAGGAAATGACTTGCTGGACCTAATTTTAGTACAGTTCCAACCCGGTCTTCTTCTGCAGCTTTTCATTTGCAGTGTAAGTGTGTTAAAAGTTATTATGTTAACACAGAAACATTCATCTTTTTATTTTTTTTTAAGGCTTTAGCTATGGGAATGATGACGGAATACTATCACTATATCTTTACCACACTGGTAAGTGGCTTATAACAACATATGGATGACATCTAGCGAAGTTGTTACTTTCCTTAATTGCGTTATCTGACAAATAAAGAAAAAAAGTTTGTAGAATGAAGTGTGAGTACATTATTTTTTCTCTGTTGAGTTTTCTTTCTTTCAGTTAAAACTCATTGAGATGATTTAATTATTGTTCAACAGTTTGCCCTGGAAAGTGGCATTTCTGAGTAAATGTCTGACTCTTTAGTACTACAGTTTTAAACTTCTAAATAGAGTTAAGTAGATAACAGAGTTGTGTGTATTCCTCTGTTTTCCTTTTACAGTTCATTAATGATCTTACAACACAAGCCATTTCAAACATGAGGAAGAAGTGACTTGGTAAAACTATACTTGAAATGACCTATGTTTAAAATGTCATTCATGTTTAAGTCCTAAGTAAAATGAATCCTTTGTGGTAGGATGGACAGTTCATCTCAGCATTACAAAATGAGTTTATCAGAAGTATTATTATGGAATTAGCTTTTTGAATAGAAAACAAAGTAAATTCTGAAGTTCATTGAAACTGTTAAGGCTCTGAACAAATACCTCTCATTATAGAATGGCAAGTTGTGAAATCATGGATTTGGGATCGCATGCAAATTCAATTTCCTTCATTAGTCTTGGATTTTCAGTTTCTGTTAAATTTTATTTTGATGTTTTGATGAAAATTGCATCTTTGAGTTGAATGCTGTCCATTAGCATTTTATTATTATTCTTAAAGTCATTTTTAAAAAATCAGATTTTCTGTCATTCTTGTTTCCCTATTATAACATTTGCTTTTTTAGGAGCGATAAGGACTATATTCATTTGGTGCTATCAAACAATAATTTAATTTGCATAGACAGATTATAGGTTCTGATTTTGCAGTCAAGCTTTGGAGCTTGCATCAGAAATTACTTATTTTGATATATTAATTGCTTCTTACCTGACATGTTGAAAGTGCTGTCAAATAAATTTTCCAGCCACAGTGTTTATAGCAGTCTAGTGTGTACTCTCCCATGATTGATTCAGGGTCTAATGCACTAGCTGATTAATGCACCAACCTGTGTGTATTTGTAATATATGAATATAATATTGTTTTGTATATTTATTATATTCCAGTGTAAACATGAATGTACTTGGGGTAAACCATTGCATCTGAGTTTTTTTTCAAAGCAAAAATTGAGAGAATGATGAAACGTTGTTCTGGTCAGTCTTTCATTTGAAAAAAAAAAAAAAAAAATTGTTTCTTTAAAAAGTGGGAATGAGTTAGGTTATTTATAAATACAAAACATTTGACCCCTATATAAATCAAGTGTCATATGTAGAAAATGGTATCATAATTACTACTTCTAATTGAAAATAGTGCCTGGCATCTGTGGTTGATTTTTAGACAAATTAGTGTTAACATATTTCATATTCTAACATATTTCTTAACATATAATATTGAAATATGTTCTGATTTTCCATAGTACAATATTATATTTTCTTCAGTTCTAATCAGTAAAAAATTGTATTCAGGGAAATATTACAAATAAATGACTATTTCATGGAAATTTAAACTATATTAAACTGTAAGCAAAGAGCAAATTAAAAAGGAAATTAAAGACAAAGTTTAGACAGTTTCTATCTTCAGTGAAACTAGAAATATGTTGCTTGCCAGTAATGTCTCATTATGTCACTTTCAAAAATTATTTAAAGGGAAACAGGAAAGCCAAGAAATAAACCAAATGAAAATTCGTTTAATGTGCTTAGCTAAACCAAATGAGTCACGGATATTTTGTTCATCAAATATTGAAATTTAATCAATTGGCAAATGTCACAGTTGTAGAGAGAAATTCCTAATCAAGAATAGGTCTGTGTTTGCAAGCATGATTAGTAGATATGAAGAATACTTTGGTTAAATTTAAGCTGTGATCAAAAGGTGCAGGCCATGTGCAGTCTCCCTTTTCCCTCCTCTCATTTAAATGTCTAAAGATAAATAACTTTCATTCAAAGGGAAAATATAGTAAGTCTGTTCTGTTTATCATGTAACAGACTGTTTCTGGTAAGCCAAAAAAAAGAAAAAAAAAAAAAAAAAAGTGTTTACTGATTAGTTATAATATTTATAATATTTATGCCTACTTGGAGCTTTTCTATTATTAGAGTAGGAATACTTAGGCTGCTCAGAAAGTAATGTCTCCTGTTTGTTTATGTGGAAACTACAACAGATACAAAGCATTTGATAGAGTGAATTCACAGATACAAAGCACTGTTTTTCAAAATATTCACCATCATTTGCTATGCGTTTTTGCTAGTGATGAAAAAGAGTCTGAATGCTGCACTCATGAAAACCTGCATGACCATCCGTGACGTGGCTTGTCTTTCACACCATTGCCTCCACTGCTAAAGTGTACCACCCATCGTGTCACTACACTAACATCCACTGTTCGGTATCTATAAACATTCAGCAAGTATCGAGATATGTCAGTGGATGCCTTTTTTTCAACATGGAGGATTTCAAAAAGGATTTCAAATTTCAATCCTCTTGCCTTTTCATGTGCATTTCCATGTCAGACACTATTTTGTCAGGCTTCCTTTGTGATTTCACCTGTTACACTCCAACAAAATTTAATAGAATATTGGTGTGAAAGTTCAGTCTCTATTGCCATACCACCAAAATCTGCCTCTGACATCATGGACCAAAAGAAGAAAATAGAAGTCATTAATCATAATTGAAGTTGCTCTTCTTCTGTGAACTGGACTGCTGGTTGGCTGAGTTATCTGAAATGTGCAGTCCTCCAAATAAACAGAACATATTTCCTTATATATACAGCAAGTGTAGTATTGCATCTCAGTCTCAAAGATGAAAATGCAGTGTATCAAAATATTCATGTAATGTTTATTTTTTTCAGGACTTGTTTGCCTTAGATGTGGAACCATATCGGTATAGTGGAGTTAATATGACAGGATTCAGAATTTTAAACACAGAAAACAGCCAAGTGTCATCTATCATTGAAAAGTGGTCTATGGAGCGATTGCAAGCACCTCCTAAACCTGATTCAGGTTTGCTGGATGGATTTATGACGGTACGAATATCAGTGTTTAGCTACTCTTTTTGTATGTGCTTGTGAATATATCTCCCATCATCTCAATTTTTAATTTCTGTGACTATAAATTTTTTTGAGGCATAGGCCCAAATATTATTGTGATTATTATTTAGGCAATAACTGTGGTTTTAATTTAATATTCTACAGGCTGAAAACATGTTATTGGTGAAAATAATTACATATTATTTGTGTAGCATCATGTCAAATCCCAGCCAAAATGAAGCTAAATCACAGTCTCTTTCTTTATATTTTCTATTATTCATTTAGGTTGCTCTTTAATAATGTTTTTTGTTTCATTTCTGCTTGATTCTTTTTTAAAATATAATTTATAAAAATTACAAAGAATTTTGTTTTTCCAGTTTCTATGCACTGACTTAAATATGTTTATATATCTTTGTTTTCTTTCACTGCTGTTCTTCTCCAGTCTCTGTTCAGTTCCCAAAAATGAAAATCATTTTTTATCCAGATGAACTTTCATTGCTGAGTTTTCAGTAACTCTCTGCCTTTATTTATTTGTTGGAATTAAATCTAATATGGTGCTAAAAGGAATAGATTTATTTGAAACATATCCTATATTAGAACTTTTTTAATTTTCAAATTAATTGGAATAACTTGATTTCTGATTTGTAACATCTTTGCTTATAGAATTCTACTGCTTTTTAGAATTTTAGAAAACATTTAATATTCCATTTGAAAAAAAAATTCTTGAAGATAGATATGTTAGTTATATAGTAACTATATAGATTGTGTTATGTGAGCCATGTAACAAGTAATTTTGTGAACAGCTGTTTCTGATAAGATTTTAAGATTTTATAAATATTAGATAATAAATGAAAATATGTATTTTTATAAGTTAATTTTCTTTTTGCCTTGTTTCTAGAAAATTATCTTGTTTAATTTTTTTTCATCTATTTTTCTTTATATGTAGTATTTAATATAAAAATTGGAAACATTTTAAGATTAATCTATGTAAGAGTTTAATTATGCTGCGCTTTTGAAGTGTTATATTATGGAATCTGTAAAGATCAATTGTTCTTTTCTCTAAGTAATTCCAAATAAGCAAGTTTGTCCCCCCAAATTCTTGAAATGCTTGATGGATGCATGTAGTTCATGTAGAGCTACTGACTATGATTTGAAGGCATTGTTTTGTGCTTTCTTGTTTGCATTAATACTGTAATTCCTTGATTTTTATCTTTTTCAAAGTAAAAATAGTAGCAATTCATCTCACTCATTGAAGTTGTGTATTTTAAGCATTGATCACAATTTGATAGTCCTCAAACATTTTAATGGTTACCAAGATCAGTAGCAGCAGTTACATTATCAAAACACTGGGCTGTGGGCAGTAAAATCACAGAGTGATAAAAACTGGAATAGAATTCCAGGAGCCAATTCTCATGGTTTTGTTCTTTGTGGTGCTATAAAGAAGGTGACATTCTTAGAAAAGATTGTGTTGTGATGCAGAAGCTTATTATTGCTAGCATGTTACTGCATGAGACTGTACATTACAGCAATACTTTCTCTCAGGATAGAAAAAGATGAAGAAATGCATGAAAAACATATGGGATTCTTTTCCTGACCCTTAAGAGCCCTCTTTGTTCTTCTGAATGCTTTCTGTAGTCACCACAAGAACCGAGCATTCATACTAATTGTGACAAATATTTTATGGAGATTGTTGATAGAGGTGAAGCATCAAAATGTAATTTGATTATATTTAGTTTTTTAGTTGATTACATTAGTTTTAGATACTTGAGATATGCAAATAGAATTTAAAGTATTTTTAAAGGCAAAGAATTTTGACCAGTTTTAAGGGGTATGATCTAGCTCTTAGAAGCAGAAAAGGTATAAACAAATGAATTTTAAAAGAGCTAGTTTGGGAAGACATAAATGTATGTCATGATCTCTTTGCACAAAGTTCTTTCTGTACTCAGTGGAATAAAGTCATTTTATTGACTGTCAATAGTTGTTAGGTTAGACAAATTCAACTTTCATTTCACTGTAGTTAATATGTATTTTAAGTCAGAAATACACCGAGGAATTAAAGACTGTGCACAGGTATTGATTGCTGCTAAGGAATACTCTATTACAGTCATACAGGCTGATCTGGAAAAGTTGTTTTATTTTCATTGGTTGCTAATGGAGGCAGTTTATCCAGAAAAACAGTATCAAAATGGCTTTGGTTTGAGTTAAAAAAAAAAAAAAAAAAAAAAAAAAAAATAAAAAAGCCCTTTACCATCTGCAAGCAGAGAATTTGCCAAATAAAAACCTAAGGTACATATTTCTCTGTGTAGAAACCACAAGCAACTGCGATTGGTTTCAAGTGGTATTAAAATCAGTCACTTTTGGATCACAGAATTTATATGCTCAGTTGGTATTTGAGTTATGTTGTTCTTCCTCCAAGATTTCCACCATATGTAGATCAGCTTAGACATCATGCCAGAGTTAGAACTGTCAATTTAATTCTGACATTTAATTAAATTTAATATTTTATTTTTAGTAATTCATAGATTTCCCACTTTTAAAGTTTACTGGCTTAAAGCTATTTTCTGTAGGCATATTTAACTCTCTTGTTAGCATACCAACATCATATCATGTTTTGCTTGCATAATTATTCATAGTAATCAAATTGGTATAGAAAAATTTATCAGTAATGAGCAGTGAATATTTTGTGAAGTCCTGTTGTAAAATGTACTGTACAGAGGAACAAAAAACTTTACTTTGGTATACCTGACTTACTATTGTGTCTGTCCAAGCTGAACATACTTAGAAGGAAAAACAAGCACCATAAAACAATATAACTGTGTTCTTACACCTAAGTATGACAGTCACAATTCAAGACAAGCGTACTGTGAATAGAGTGATATAAATTCAGAATTCTACTGTGCCATTATTAATCTCCCACTGTGTTTTATGCCTCAAATCAGAACTTAGCATTCATAATTAAGATGACCTAACAGGTTCTGTTGCTTAATTAACATGAAGTTTTCATTACTAATTGCTATTGTAGTCATCTGATTTAGCTATCTGCTTTCATCTTAGGTAGGAATGAGTGTCCTTTATTCTAATCTGATTATTAATTCTATGTTTTCATGTTCACTTTAGTAGCTGTATATGGCAGGTACAGGGAAGCACTGTGGTACTTGAGCATACTATAGCTAATATCAACATTGGGTTTTCTCATATTTTGAGTCTGATACATCTTGTAGACTGCTGTGCAGAATGGAACACTGTGCTCCATTATTATTTCTCTTGTGTGGTTGTATGTTTGTTTTTCGTATTTTTTAAAATAATAATTATTCCTCCTTACCTTTCTGGTCATAATGTGTTTTTCAAGCTTAGTTCCTCTCCAACATGGAATGTATTTCTCAGCATATGAAAGCCAATTTTAATAGAAATTGAGAGTGCTGATAAATACTGAGTGCAAAAATTTAGAGCGTTTTTACGTACATAGTATTCTGTGTATGAAATTTTAATCTAATTTAAAAAACAACCTCATGAATAATAAAGAATAAAGATTTGAAATTTGTAAGAGCTGATGTGTAGCCTCCCAAAGAAATTTACTTTGAAAAGAAAATCAAGAAAATTTTCTTGATCAAAAGAATACACAGGGCATTCCCTCCAAAGAACTGTCTAGGACATTCATTGTAAACTAATACTTTAGCATGATGCAATAAAAATGCTGAAAAGATAAATGCTTTGGAATTTTAAGTGATTTTTAAATTAAGATAATACAACAGAAAAAATTGGAGACAATAAAATAAGAGATTAATAGAATGAGAGAAGACTTTGCAGTCATGGCACTTGTAGCTCAGAAGTCATCAGAAAATAGAATTAAAGAAAGTGATCCAGTTTTGTGCATGATAAAAGCAAGGCTTACTGAAGTTTTAAATGAAAATGGGAAGTAGCTCCCACACCATAGTTGGATATAGTTGAACAGTAATAATACTGAGAGTACTCATCTTCTGCTATCGAAGGGCAAGTATATATTTGGCAGGTTCAGTGTCCTACTGAAAAAAGCATTTGATACAATTGATTTGGAACTATGTGTCTCTGATTCATTTTGATTGAAGTTAGGTGAGAAGAGCAATCTAAGAAGAAGCATGAGTAAAATAATACTGTGGAAGTTAAGGAAAAGATTTTAACCAGGATATGCTAAAACTGAGCTGTTAGTCAAGAAATCAGGGAGGTGCAAAAATGGAAATGTAAGCTATTAGTAATATCAGTATTTCATATAACTAGTTTCTATTTTTTTTTAATCTAATTTTGTCCTCTACCTCTCCCTCTCCCTTTTTTTTTTTTTTTTTTTTTTTTTTCCCCTACAAAATTCTTTGGTTACCTTTCTCCCAGATAAAGCAACATTTTATGATACATGCAGGATTTTCCTTTGGCATGCTTCTGAAGTTAAATGGTCAAATGACTTTCTTCGTTTGGCCTAATTCCTCCTTCATGCAGGATATTTCATAGCTGTACAAAGTCATTTAAAAAGAAGCATTATTACACTAGATATGAATTCTACACTGTGAAGAAAGCTCTATTAAAATTTTGTTTCCTTTTTCTTTATAGTTACTTGTAGGTAAAAAATAGATTCACTGCAAGTGTAACCTTTTACTTGTTGAATTAGTGTTTTAATGAAGTTTAGGTGCTTACCTACACATACTAACAGATTATGCAGCTGCTTTTCTTCCTGCTAATTCCCTAGAGTGTGTTTTGATTTCCTAAGAATAAGAAATGATTTCATGTTTGTTTGTGTATGTGATTTAATATGGTAATCTCCTTAATTTAATGATGAAGTTGTTTTATGGGATATGAAGGAGACTCAATTTGGTGAATAACTTGTTACAAATTAGTCATTTAATTTTTTTTAACGGCAGGAGGATATGGTGAAACAGCTATTTTTAATCTGTACCTAACAAGTGACAGGGAGTTATATCTGAGGTAGCTAGAAGGCACTGTTACTGGACAGAAGGATTTGATGAGAAAAA